GATCGTACAGAGACTGGACAAATGTATTCAAATTGGGAAAACCGACAAATATTCTATTATTTTGTCATGATTGCAAAAACTGTAGTGACGAATAAATCAATGTGAATTTATATTTATAACCTTGTTACCGACCTCTTCTGATGGACTGAGAGCTAAGGAGGTCGTCTTTGGAAAACGCCGAAATATGTCTGGGGTTGTAAATTCTTGGCTAGCAGCTACGAAGGTCAACGAACGTCAAAGAGATGCCGCTGTCTCGGGTTTTCCTTAAGGGTTGGTTGTTAACAGGTGTTCGCACGGTGACACTATAGGGAGAGAAAGTACGGACGGGAGCGAAACGATGTCGGTCAGCGCTAGATCAAAGCTGTGAGACGGCCCATGTATTTCATACTTTTTTTGTAGTCTCGGGGAGAAATTCCAAGCCGGGCGTGGCGCTGTTTTCAATTTCAAAACTTCCTTATGAAGCCCCTGACCTTGGTTGAATTAAATCTTTTTTCCCTACGCTAAGTTTGTTAGTTTATGGTAATATGTTATAAACAACAGACGAATAAGACGTTATACCATAATAATATTATGATGGACTACCATTAGACATTTAAGGCTTCCTTGAGTAAAGTAAACTCACTTACTTACCTCAATGAACCACACGATCACAGGCGAGAGGATAGATGTATGGGTATTCATCTATCCTATCGCCTGTGATCGTGTGGTTAGAGCATGATTATTGAATAGTTAGGTCAACCATATACATTTTGCCAGATAACTTCGTAATTTACTAGACTGCCTCAATCATATTTATACTGACTATTCTACACATTGTATATTAGCATTAGAATACCTCAAAGTTGATGTGATGGACTTAGGAAAAAGATTGTGCACTTTTCCTGACTCAAATTCCTATCAACCACATAGATTTTGCCTTATAGCTTCGTAATTCACTGGACTGCCTCAATCATATTTATACTGAGTGTTCTACACATTGTATATTACCATTAGAATACCTCAAAGTTGATGTGATGGGCTTAGGAAAAAGATTGTGCACTTTTCCTGATGCGAGTTCCTATCAACCATATACATTTTGCCATATAACTTCGTAATTCACTGGACTGCTGCAATCATATTTATACTGAGTATTCTACACATTGTATATTACCATTAGAATACCTCAAAGTTGATGTGATGGGCTCAGGAAAAAGATTGTGCACTTTTCCTGATGCGAGTTCCTATCAACCATATACACTTTGCCTTATAGCTTCGTAAATCACTGGACTGCCTCAATCATACTCATACTGATTATTCTACACATTGTATATTACCATTAGAATAACTCAAAGTTAATGTGATAGGCTTAGGAAAAAGATCGTGCACTTTTCCTGATGCGAGTTCCTATCAACTATATACATTTTGCCATATAACTTCGTAATTTACTGGACTGCCGCATTCATACTCATACTGATTATTCTACACATTGAATATTACCATTATAATACCTCAAAGTTTGGTGATGGGCTCAGGAAAAAGATTGTGCACTTTTTATGTTCGGAGTTTTAATTGTTCGCGTTATGTTAAGCCTTAGCCACGTATAATGTACAGTACGGTCTCAAATATGCCTTTTAAAATACGTCAATTAATTAGTTTTAACTTGTATACACGTTTTATCAATGTATAATTGACATTATATAAATATAAAAACATCATTTCGCACCGTATTGTCATTGATTTGTGTTTCCGACATCCCTGCAAAACACGTTTGTGGCGTCCGCAGGCGTACCAACCCACATCTATTACAATTACAAACCGAAACTTTTCCTGACGCAAATTCCTATAAACCATAAATTATAGATTTTGCCTTATAGCTTCGTAATTCACTGGACTGCCGCAATCATACTTATACTGATTATTCTATACATTGTATATTAGCATTAGAATACCTCAAAGTTGATGTGATGGGCTTAGGAAAAAGATCGTGCACTTTTCCTGATGCGAATTCCTATCACCCATATACATTTTGCCATATAACTTCGTAATTTACAGGACTGCCTCAATCATATTTATACTGACTGTTCTACACATTGTATATTACCATTAGAATACCTCAAAGTTGATGTGATGGGCTTAGGAAAAAGATTGTGCACTTTTCCTGATGCGAGTTCCTATCAACCATATACATTTTGCCATATAACTTCGTAATTCACAGGACTGCCGCAATCATATTTATACTGAGTATTCTACACATTGTATATTACCATTAGAATACCTCAAAGTTGATGTGATGGGCTTAGGAAAAAGATTGTGCACTTTTCCTGACGCAAATTCCTATCAACCATATAGATTTTGCCATATAACTTCGTAATTCACTGGACTGCCGCAATCATACTCATACTGATTATTCTATACATTGTATATTAGCATTAGAATACCTCAAAGTTGATGTGATGGGCTTCGGAAAAAGATTGTGCACTTTTCCTGATGCGAGTTCCTATCAACCATATACATTTTGCCATATAACTTCGTAATTCACTGGACTGCCGCAATCATACTCATACTGATTATTCAAAACATTGTAAGTTACCATTAGAATACCTCAAAATTGATGTGATGGGCTTAGGAAAAAGATTGTGCACTTTTCCTGACGCAAATTCCTATCAACCATATAGATTTTGCCTTATAGCTTCGTAATTCACTGGACTGCCGCAATCATACTCATACTGATTATTCTATACATTGTATATTAGCATTAGAATACATCAAAGTTGATGTGATGGGCTTAGGAAAAAGATTGTGCACTTTTCCTGATGCGAGTTCCTATCAACCATATACATTTTGCCATATAACTTCGTAATTTACTGGACTGCCTCAATCATATTTATACTGACTGTTCTACACATTGTATATTACCATTAGAATACCTCAAAGTTGATGTGATGGGCTTAGGAAAAAGATTGTGCACTTTTCCTAATACGAGTTCCTATCAACCATATACATTTTGCCATATAACTTCGTAATTCACTGGAACTGCCGCAATCATATTTATACTGAGTATTCTACACATTGTATATTACCATTAGAATACCTCAAAGTTGATGTGATGGGCTCAGGAAAAAGATTGTGCACTTTTCCTGATGCGAGTTCCTATCAACCATATACATTTTGCCATATAACTTCGTAATTTACTGGACTGCCTCAATCATATTTATACTGAGTATTCTACACATTGTATATTACCATTAGAATACCTCAAAGTTGATGTGATGGGCTCAGGAAAAAGATTGTGCACTTTTCCTGATGCGAGTTCCTATCAACCATATAGATTTTGCCTTATAGCTTCGTAATTCACAGGACTGCCGCAATCATACTCATACTGATTATTCTATACATTGTATATTAGCATTAGAATACCTCAAAGTTGATGTGATGGGCTTAGGAAAAAGATTGTGCACTTTTCCTGACGCAAATTCCTATCAACCATATAGATTTTGCCATATAACTTCGTAATTCACTGGACTGCCGCAATCATACTCATACTGATTATTCTATACATTGTATATTAGCATTAGAATACCTCAAAGTTGATGTGATGGGCTTAGGAAAAAGATTGTGCACTTTTCCTGATGCGAGTTCCTATCAACCATATAGATTTTGCCTTATAGCTTCGTAATTCACTGGACTGCCGCAATCATACTCATACTGATTATTCTATACATTGTATATTAGCATTAGAATACATCAAAGTTGATGTGATGGGCTTAGGAAAAAGATTGTGCACTTTTTCCTGATGCGAGTTCCTATCAACCATATACATTTTGCCATATAACTTCGTAATTTACTGGACTGCCTCAATCATATTTATACTGAGTGTTCTACACATTGTATATTACCATTAGAATACCTCAAAGTTGATGTGATGGGCTTAGGAAAAAGATTGTGCACTTTTCCTGATGCGAGTTCCTATCAACCATATACATTTTGCTATATAACTTCGTAATTTACTGGACTGCCTCAATCATATTTATACTGAGTGTTCTACACATTGTATATTACCATTAGAATACCTCAAAGTTGATGTGATGGGCTTAGGAAAAAGATTGTGCACTTTTTCCTGGTACGAGTTACTATCAACCATATACATTTTGCCTTATAGCTTTGTAATTCACTGGACTGCCTCAATCATATTTATACTGAGTATTCTACACATTGTATATTACCATTAGAATAGCTCAAAGTTGATGTGATAGGCTTGGGAAAAAAGATTATGCACTTTTTATGTTCGGAGTTTTAATTGATCGCTTTATGTTAAGCCATAGCTACGTATAATGTACACTACGGTCTCAAATATGCCTTTTAAAATACGTCGATTAATTAGTTTTTACTTTTATACACGTTTTATCAATGTATAATTGACATTATATAAATATAAAAACATCATTTCGCACCGTATTGTCATTGAATTGTGTTTCCGACATCCCTGCAAAACACGTTTGTGGCGTCCGCAGGAGTACCAACCCACATCTATTACAAACCGAAAAAGCGCCGATGAAAAGAGCCGCTAACTTCACGACGGTCTATGACCGATCATAGATTAAACATACTTGGGGAGTATGTTTAATGTTTAAGTAAGTATGTTATTTGTAGCGCAACTTAACTAAAAAAATAACAAGACCCTATTATATTCTTGTAGTTTTATTTGACTTTGCCTTATAATCAACGCGTTCAGCTACAACTACCCTTTACAACTTTACTGACAGTAATAAATAAACAAGAAATTGGAGGGAGGGTGATTAAAAAAATATCAGCGACTTCTTCTTCTTGCGTGCGTTTGATGGTCTGATGCTGCTGATGGATGGATAGTGCAGATTATATTGAGGTTAGAATTAGAATTTTGTTTTTGTTCCAAGTCGTTCTCGTTACGTTAGGCTACAGTAACTGAACTTGTGTTAGTTGTGATGTGATATTCATTTAGCTTTTAATTAATTCGTAGTAGGACTTTATTAATTCGAAACCTTATAACATGTATTCAGGCTAATATTTATTCTTGCAGCTTAGTCTATGAATCATTCGGTCACCGTGTTGATGGCATAGGTTTTCTTTAATATTTTTCTTCTAGGTCTTACAGTTTTCAAGAAAGAGGGCTTATAACTAATTTTTCGACTCGCACATGATTCAAACCGTAAGTTGACAGAATAGTAAATTGCTTCGCCTCTGTCATTTGTATGATTATTGTTTATTCCCCATAAGTTAGTCAATTTTATTTGTTTTAACACTTAGGTTACGGTATACCTGATTGTTACTTGGCCTACATATAATGCTTACTCCTCTAAATTTGTTGGCTACTGCATTCTTATTTTTTCTGTTTAGAACAATGGTACGCCATAAAGCGCAACGTGTTTCTGCAAAGCCCAGGACAAAAGATATCGAGATTGCCGATGACACTGATTTTAAATCTATGCTTCTCCCTCCACCAATTTTAAAGGGACTTAAGCAATCTGGATACATAAGACCGTCACCAATCCAGAAGAAGGCCCTTCCTTTAGTAAGATGTGGCCTCGGTAAGTATTTATTTTTGTAGGCTAGCTGAAGCTATGTAGGCCTATCTCGATAGTTTTGATTTGAAGCTGAGTAAGTCATCTCAAGGACAATAAAATTCTAAGTTTTAGGCTAGGCCTAGGCCTAATTATTTAAGTCCCCCAACTTATTTCTTCAAGATTACTGGTAACTTAAGAGTAGGATTTTGGATTTTGGACCTAGCCTATATTGACAAGTACATTTTCCTTTGAATATTAAATCATAGCCTAAGTTACGTAACATACTTTTGAAGCTCGCATATCAACCTAATCCAACGTATTCAGAGGTGGATAAGACTGGTGTCTGTAAAATATCCAATTTAGGCCTAAGCTCAATTCAATAAGTTATCATAATTTAAATTTCACTTGAAACTTATTCTTAGGCCTATCCGTAGTATATGATCTTATCAAAAGTTATAACTAAGGCATAGGTACCTCTGTTCATTATCCAGCAGATAAGTCATGACCTAAGTTATTAGCTCATGATATAGGCCTAATTATATTAAAGTTAATATTAATTAATATATGCCTAAGTAGTCGTAGGAAGGGATAATCTGCCCGTCTCCCATGTGTCCAGCTTAAGGTCTACAATTGTTTTGTTTAACTACAGTAAAGTCCCGCTTACAGTATTGAAGATATATGAGACCAAAAGCAACTCGTTTATCACGGAAAATGTTACAAATATTGAAGGTTAGATTAGTATATAATCATAACATCGTAAATTAAGCACTTAGGTACCTACCTTTAGGCTAGGCCTACATTACTCTATTGAAGATACCTTTTATAGACTTCTCTAGTTGTTATACAAGCTAAATGCAACCAGTCCTGAGTACATTGTAAGAAAACGGGGAAATTCAGCTTTCAAGTGTTGGCATCACTGTATCTGTAACGTGATGAGTAATGGTTGGAATCTTTGTACTTTTTCCCACGCTAACAACAAATAATCTAGGTATTCTATCTGTCTGTAGGCGTCCCAAATTAAACCAAACATAAATTTATAATTAAGTTAGAATCCTTTTTAAATTGAGTTTGGTTTCTAAAATTTTATAAAAACAGTAGATTTAAACTCTTACTCCCCCTGCATCCTCATTTTGCTACAAAGCTAGAGTAGTAAAAGTGGCTAGTAGTTATTAAATTATAAGTAGGCTTACAATTAAAAACTTGCGATTTTAGTTTCAACGAATTTGAATTTAAATTTTCAGATCTAATTGTGCAGGCCAAGGCAGGCACAGGAAAGACTTGTGTGTTTACTATAGCCGTGCTAGAAATGGTGAAACCCAACCTTCCACATTTGCAAGCGATAGTATTGGCTCCGACAAGGGAAATAGCTTTGCAGATTACCAGCGTCATCAATGCCATAGGGCAGTGTGTTGAAGGTAAATAACGATTTATGGATATTACTAATTTGTTATTTGTGAGTTTAACACATAATCTGACAAAAGAGAACAGAAAGTTGTCGGATCTCCAAAACCACCAGATTATCGCAATAATATGCCTACTTAATTTAAATAACCTGTATCCCAATCAATGAAAAGTCAACTTGTGGTACTAGTACCTACCAATATCATGTTGGGCATACTTTAAAATTTTCAAACTTCAAATTCCCTAAAGGGAATTTAAGTAGGACTCTTTTAGGTAGGTTAGTTAGTTTATAAACTGACAGCCGTATAAATATGAAGTACAGCATTGGTCCTGTAAAACATTCTAACTTATAGGCCTGGTTAATATCCAAATGGAATTTGGATTTCCTACTTCCCTGTCTTAAATTTTTTAAAGGTTACCAAGGTCAAAAAAGGTTAAAAGGTAACACACTCCAGTTCAATGACAAATAATAATACAAAGGCATACTTAATTATTCTATATGCTCTTCATTGTAAGGAATGAAAAATTTAACTTAAATTGGTAAACCAAAAAGACAGTAGCCTCCTGCAATCACAGAAATAATATTTTGGTTCTGAACAGACATTGGCCAGTAACTCATTAATCAATTTTGGAGTTCTTAGTGTGTTGGACTAATAAGTATTTTGAAGGATCTAAACTGGACTCAGCTATCAGATCATCGCAATAAATCGTCCTGACCAAAGAATGAGCTGGTTTTAGACAATAAGAAAGCCACACAAGGCATTTTGCTCCAGTCTACACTCATTCTTCTCTCATATTTGGGTTATAGGTACGTCCAGTAGCTTCCAGATTTTAAATGGATGTAACAAGTCTCAAGTTCCAATAGAAGCTAAAGAAATCTTTATATCAACAAACTTTGGATGTTTGCAGTTGTTGGAACATTTAGTAAAACATTTACTTACTAAACAAATTTACATAGGCCTAACCTATCTTCCTGCTTGTAGGGCTTAAGACAAGCTGTTTCATCGGAGGTTATCCTCTCAGTGTGGACGTAGACAAAGTGAAAGGATGTCAGGTGGCGGTGGCAGCGCCTGGCCGACTGAAACATCTGCTGGAGAAGGGACTGCTCAACCCTCGACACGTTCGACTGTTGGTGCTTGATGAGGCTGACAAGCTCATGGAGAAGGTGTTTGCCAAGGATATCAAGTAAGAACTTAAAACTAAAGATGTACATTTTTGTTTTGTCACTAATCTTTTTATTTGAGCATAATTTTTAACGACTGTAAAGTTATTTCATTTGAGTGATGTTTTCAGTAATTTATCTTCAGAATTTCGCTTGAGCCACCACCTATTGTGTTCCTCATTTGTACAAATTGTGGTTTTTTTAGGATTTTTGTTTTATTGTAACTACTATACATTTTTTGTTTGTGTATTTTGATTTTGCCATTCTTCCAGCTTTGACTGGGTTTGTGTACTAATCTTCGTTATGATTTACGTACTCGCTCACCTAAGAACGGAATTAGATTCCAGTTCCCGAAGCATTGTGAAGGTTTGTTTTAAATTTTTGTGTTGGAAAACGTCTAAAGTTAATTCCTCTACAATACCAACATCAATTCAATCCATCATAGATTAAATTAGAAATGGATTAAATTACTGTGCTGTATTGAGTAATCCATCTTTAGAAGTAAATTACTGTATTTTCAGGCTTGTAATATTCAATTTTTAGTGTCACAGGAACATTGATTGAATGTGCCATTTAATTACGACTATCTTCTAGCGTTGCTGCTATTGTTCTTACCTGGCCATAATTTATTTGTTTGATGTTTATTTTGTGGCCATTATTAGGCCTATTTATTTGTTAATGTTTATTCGCCAATGCATTAGTTGTATTTTTTTGATTTAATGGTTTTTATTGTTTTAATGGATCTACCTGCGTTAGATGAGTTAGGCCTACTCATCAATCAAATGTTTCTAGGTGTCTGTGGGTGTTTTTTTCGCCATAAGTTTGATGACAAGAAATTTACTGTTACCAGTCGTTGTGCTGACACAATGGTATTTATTTAAGTTTTATGTGCTCGTATACTTATCAGATGGTCTCTGATTCTATGGTTGGATCTAATGTTTCCGGATTTGATCAGAAGCTTTTTGAGACTGGACTATGTAACTAAAACCGGTTTCGTTTACAGTGAGATATTCAACCAGCTGCCAGAGAGTAAGCAGGTGATTGCGTGTAGCGCTACCTACACGGATCAGCTGGTCAAGTTCCTCAGTGACTACATGAACTCAGGTCAATATGTCACTCCGCAGCAGATGGACGGCTCCACCATACTGCTGGGCGTGAGGCAGTTTGTCAGTGTAGTTCCTAGACATGTCAACAGGTTAGTGTTAGTGTTAATCAGTTGAAATATGTTGGTTTAGTTTTCTGGCATAATACTGGAAAAACGTTTTATGGGGGTAGCATAGCGTTTGGATTTCCTATAAAGTAATTATATTTAACCTGATTTCAGCAATCAGATTTTTCGGTATTTAGCATCTAGTTTCAGTATATAAACGTCTTCTATCCTTTTGACAAGTTTAATGTGTCATCGTCTCTTATGAAATTTTTCCATCCTATCTTCACATTTTAGTGCAGTAGGCTCTAGTTTGGGACAGTTTATACAAATCACTTCAGGCTATGCCTTGGGGTACGTCATCATTACGTTGAAATTTATTGGGATTTAGCGGGATTTGAACTCACATACTCAGTGACAAAAGCTTCACATTTCATTGCATGAGATGACTGCAATTAAGGTATACCTGTGGATAGCAGCTGTACATGTGTACAGCCTGAAAATGTTGTTTCATGGTTCTGAAACAAGTTGTAGATTACTACCATCTGACACAACAACAGACATTCACGCTATTTCCAAAACAAAAGATTAATTAACGTAAATCAACACTTGATAACAACTGCACAGTCCTCTAGTAGCCCTAGCGACAAATTTGTTGTTTACAGCATCATCTGCTTTTTTGCAATAATCATGTCGTGTATAAATTTCTTTCTACTTGAAGGTGGGGACAGATTTAGGATCCCAAAATGTCGATCTTTTGTTTTAATAATCAGAGTGTCTACAATTAATCCTTTAAATAATACAAAGGTGCAGTAGAGCCCTCCATATCTGTTGGGTGGTAAATGACCACGTTGTTTCATAATTTGCCATGATATCACAGGTTAAAATAACAACATAGATGCAACTAGCTCATTTACTGCCAGGAAATAAACGTTTGTGTCAACTATACTCTTGAGTTAGACAAATTGAGAAAAATAATAAAAAAGTGAATTATAACTGAACAACTTATGTTTGGACTTGTGTGCAGTCAAAACATTCTGTGGTATAATTTACTGTAATGTAAAAAAAACTCATTGGAAATCCCATTTTTAACATTATAGGTTAATCATTTACCAATTGAAATTAAATGATGCCCAAATTATTTTACCCCTATAATGATGCATTTGTTGTTTTCAGATTAGCACAACTCAAAATAAAAGAGAAGAACCTTCTTTATTTGTTGCGGTCCATATCTTTTGACCAGTGCCTTATCTTCTCCAACTTAAGTACCAGGTATGATTTTTTACTACATGACAGTATGCTGGAAAATTTGACAGTATTGTGTCTTGTGATGTTTATTTTAAAATTTCTTACTGTAAACTTGAAAATCCGTATTTCTAAAGGCCAAGTACTGACTTGGGTACATATGGCCATGGCAGTAAGTATGTAGAGCTGGGAAACTCCTCTAACCTATTTGCCTATTTCTAACTTTTTTTACCATTTTTCCCCTAGTTAGTCTATTCATGTTGAATATATCCTCCACTGTCCCTCCCCATACCACTTGTGGTTCACTCTCTCTTATTACCTTTCCAGGGCTTGTCAATGTTATAGGCAACGACGCTCTGGATAGTCAAGCAAAGTACAGTTTTGTACTATACACAGCACCAGAGTTCTGCTAATCTAATGGGAACCTGTCCCTATTCGAATTATCAAATGTAAGGATTAAACATACACGCAGAACATTTTTTGAAAAATCAAAACAACTTTTTTTTAGTTTAAATGTCCATATGATGTTCCTGTTATCACACAACACCACGATTGCTGCTGCTATCTTGGCAATGTCATGATCATTTCCCGCGGATGTATTATGTGTGTCACACCAACCTTAAAAGAGAATTAACAAAACAGTGTTGATGAATGGATGCTTAGGCATGGGTTATTGGCAATCATTCCAAATTTATGACAGTAACATTAGCTCCCAAACAGGTGGTTCAGATTGCCAAGACTGTTTTGTAACTATTGTAAGAACTGAGGAACCTTACTGAAACATCATCAGTTTTCTTTGCCAAGAATTGCTTTACCTTCCTACTTTTCTTTATCAGTAAGATTTCTTTGGCAACATTTACATTAGAGGTGTGTCAATACCAAAATGTATCAATACCGGTACCAATACAAAAAATAAATAAAATAATTCTCGTTAACGATAACATTTTCTGAAATTTTTCACAAAATTTTCGATGTTATAGATCTTTCATACTACCTACACCAAACTCTATAAATTATGTCCTTACATAAAGTATTTTTTAGGGGTAATTGGGTGCATTTTAGTTAAAGAAAAATTAATTCACCCAATAAAAACCACAGAAACATCACTTTCCTCTGCTATATGGGCAATATATCTGAACCCCCCCCCCCCCAGGGAAACAAATCATGGACAATGTCTTGCAATAACAGCATAATCCTAACATATCTCCATCAGTCGAGTAGCCATCATCATCATCTTTTGCAATCGTGCCAAAATGAAACGTTATTGTTGCCATCTGGAGTAGAGGAAAAATCTTTTATCATCCCCCACGCCCGTGTAGACATCATCATGGTCTCCCGCTGTTGCTTTAGAAAAAGTTCAGGTAGGAAAAACCACACAGAAAATACACAATATTTTGTCTCCCACAAGATTGAAATTAATTTTTTTTATTTTTATAGATTGGCCGAAAAGTCCCTTTATCCGAAACACCACTGATCAGCAAATATAGGTACGTTAGTAGTATGTTGTTAGGTGGGGGAAGAGAACAAAGGCTCATTCTCCCTTCCCCCACCACCGCTTCGGCCCTAAAACACCAATTAAATTTATCTTTAATGGAATGGGAATTTTCGGCCAACCTGTACATAATTTTTTAAGTCTTCTGTGTGTTCTATCTCATACATATTGTACTTCTAAAAGATAACTGCTATCTCTTTATTCTACATATCTCAATCCTGGCTTAGAGAATTTTCTTGAACAAAACAAGCCTTAGTAGTGTGAGACTTCTGTATCATTACAGAAATTACTCAAATGAAAATAGCCTTATCACCAATCTTGCTTTCTCATTCCTGTGTTCCTTATCTTATCAAAGTTATCACTACTTTTCCTGATAAATAATCCAATGTGTCAGCATAGATTGTTGACTTCAAGTATGAAGGTTTCTGATTAAATCCAAACAACAAACAACGTGAACTAACATATGAGCAAATAATGAAATGGAGAGCTGACGGAATAAACTAAATGAGTGATTTTGACTACATAATCTGAAAAGAATTATTAATGGAATTAAGAATAACTATTGTGTAACACGATACCTCCAAGGGGTCATACCCCCATATCCCACGTATTCAACAAGCCATCTTTCTTCTTCCACAGCAGAGACACGACAACCGGTGTTTCCGTCGTGTTCCCCTACTCTCATCGGTGCGCATGCGCGACCATAATGTCCTAGGCTGTGTATCATGGCTTGAGCTCACAACGTGGCGGGACATTTAAATTATTCTGGACTGACCTCCACTAGTCAAAACATTTCTATAACTCAATAACTCAATAACTCATTTATTTAGCAAGATTAACATTACAAATGCATTAGCCAAGTCAAATTTACTAAAAATAACTATTAACTAACTTTTAAAATAATTAAAATTAAAATTCATGAGGACTGTCCGTCAGCGAGAAAGGCGCGGACACTGTAGTAGCCTTTACCCACGAGAAATGACCTCAAGTGCCTTTTGAAGCATCCCGGATCTGATGTGGACTTGATTTGAAGTGGGAGAGCATTGAACAGTTTGATGGCATTATAGTTTAGATGTCTTTCAAAGAATGTGGTTGAATGGGCTGGAATTCTCAGATTGAAAGTATTGCGAAGCAGATACGAGTGGGTGGATGTGGTGTGGATGTCTATGCTTAATTATTGTCATTGGGCTATAAAATATGTTGTGTAATATGTTGGTGTTGAATGACATTTGAAAGGCATTATTGTCTGTATTCTTGCCAATTAAAGTACTGTACTATAAAAGTTATTAGCCTATATTAGCATAATAATTTCTAACACACAGCAATAACCAAGTTAATTTTTGTATAAAAGAAGTGTTTTAGCTCGACGTCAAGAAATAACAGTAAATTATGTTTAAGATTAGTTTCTTATTAGTGTCTTTTCAATCCAAATTTTGTAGAGTTTGTGTTTTGACATTTGACCATTGTGGTGCAACTATGGCAGTTAAATAAAGACAACCACACTTGTCATTTGTCACCCTTGTCTGTACTTGGAAGATATCAGGTTTTAGACAACAGAACTGCTGTACTTTCTGATTGTTTAAGCAGGCTGCATACCACACCCTTCACCCTTCTTAATATTCCTAAAGCAAATCCTCTCTCCTATGAAAAACAATATGAAAAACTACTAATTTTCCAGGGCTGTGAGCCTGTGCAACCTACTGAGGAAGGAGGGGTGGGGAGTGGAGTGGATTGCTGGTCGACAGCCGCAGGAGGACCGAGTGGCAGCCCTGACTCAGCTGAGGGATCAGCGAGTGAGAGTGTTGGTCACGACGGACCTGACGGCTCGTGGGATCGACATCGAGAACGTTAACTTGGTCATCAACCTGGACCTGCCGCTGGACCATCACACGTACCTGCACCGCATGGGTCGCGCCGGCCGCTACGGCTCGCATGGTGAGTGTCTACCCGAATGTGATAATTTGGTATAGTTTCAGTTGTTGACCAGTCTAACTATTCGGTATCTGTGGTGTAAACAGGTGGATTTGGCCTCCTTAGCCCTTGGGGTTTTGTTTTTGCCCCCTTTGATATGATTTATCGCAGAGAAAAATCTATTTAAATTGAGGCTATTGATAGTTTCTAAATTTGAGTTTGTAAGAACAAAATTCCATTTTGTTAATTCATGAGTTTTGATTATTTGATTGTCAGTTATCCTACCCAGTGTAAAGCAATACTCTCTACAAACGATTTAATATCAAGAAGTCTACAAATGTTTTAGTAAGACAAGTCCCTTGCTGATCAGAAAGTAATGGACGTTTCCGTATGACGGTCACTAGGTGTACGCTGAATAAAGACATTTTTATTTATTTATTTATTTACACCGATCGCACATTTTAAAACACAGATAGGTTTTCCTCCTTAGTCTAGTCTTCCCAGAGGAACTTTCAAACTGCAATATTAAATTTGGAAAAGTGCACTGCAATTAAAAATCTGGTAGTTGTAAAGTGTCATGTGGTTTTTGTTGGCCAGGAACTTAAAACCTGCAGACATTTTTTGTCAAGTGTGTGAAGTGAACGGAAACAACATAATGAATGGAAGTTGTGTCCAGAACTAGCAGTATTTTCAACTGCAACTCACATTTTTATCTTGAATATTGCAACAATGGGCAGTGCAACGCTATGACGTATGTGTATTCTATAAATCTGTATAAGATACCTATCATTCACCCGTCTTGATTCACCTAGTTAGAACAACAACCTGTGGCTTAGTGGACAATTATATCTTCATGTTATTTCCTACTGTAGCAGTAGTGTTTTTTTTTATTTTGTAAGTTTGTATAGTGACTACTCATTACTCAATATCTAAATGAAACATATATAAATCTGTCTACTCTATTATGTTTCAGGTATCACGATCACAGTGGTGTCCGAGGGTCCAGAGCTGGCTGCCTTCCAGAAACTAATCGGGAACATCGGAGGAACTACTCTAACAGTCAACCGTGTTCCTCAACACCTGAACAATATCGATCTTTGGAAAATACCAAATGACAAGTTTGAAAAAGTCTGTGGTATTGTCGACATCAAGCCTTCAATACATCCCGAAAAGGTAGGAGATAGTTCAACGAATACAGGGGAAACAAATTCTTCTCTGAGTGCTGATAGTGAGGATATAGGAATCAGTTCAGCAAGTACTGCTGAAAAGAATTCTCCCGAAAGTAGTGATTTTGTCGATTCAGACAGTTCAACGAGTACCGCTGAAAAAATATCCCCTGAGAGTGATAGTGAGGATTCCATAAAGGAAAATAAGGGGGAAGATAATGCCTCGGGTGCAGGAAACAAGTATTTGCTTGAATATAGGAAGGATTGTAACGAAAAACATAGTATGAGTAAAGTTGTGACTGCTGAAAACAGTTACTCTGAAAAGAATTCCTGTGAAAGCAGTGATGATGAAGATTGTGTCAAAGTGCTTAGCAATGGTGCTACTAATGGTGAAAAGAATTCTCCGGAAAGCAGTGATAGTGAAGATTATGTTAAAGAGTTTAATGAAAACACTAGTACAATTGATGGTGAAACAAATTCTCCTGAAAGCAGTGATAGTGAGGATTATGTTAAAGAATATATTGGAAATGGCGAGAAGAATTCTCCGGAAAGCAGTGAGGGTGAAGATAATTTAAAAGAATCTAAAGGAGGCAACGGTGCCACTATCAGTGAAAATTATTCTATTAAAAGCTCTTGTATTGATGATTTTATTAAAGGATGCAATGGCGAAATAATCGTCAGGCAGATAAAAAATGCCATTGACCTGACAGGAAAAGTACCTAATGTGACAGAAGACTCAGTTAGTCCTAATGATATGCAATGTAAGAAATCTAAAGGACTTTCTGCAGAAACCATTTCTCTAACCTCTAATCACAGCACTAGCACTGATGAAAAGTGCTCTCCAAAAAGTAGTGATGATGAATTGTGTGCAAATAGTTGTCTCAAAGATAAATCTATTTTCTTGGAAAATTTGCGTATACGTGATTTTTACAAAATCGATAGTGATGACATAAAAGTTATTGCAGGGCCATCTCTATTTGCTTTGAAAATGCAAGAACATTGGCGGGAGGTTTTGCCAGTGGTGGTGAATGAGTTCAAAGTTCCTTTAAATACACCAATAGCTTCATTGGATTCTAAGCTCATCAGGGTCAGATATTGGGACAAGAGCCAAAAGTACGGTGGTATTAAAATGTATACTACTTCCAATGAAGTGCCATTGATAAATTTTGAAGAGAAGAAAGAAGATAAGGCGTTCCTGAACTTTCAAGATATTGTATCTGGTTTAGAGGGGGGATTAAAAGTTGATGAAAAGTCGGAAGATAATGCTGTTAGTACAGATAAGCCGTTGTTGAGCTACGAAAGTATTGAAGCTTATTTAGAAAGTGGATTTCCTAAAGTCCCAAAAGAAGTTTCAGAAAAATGTGAAGAAATTGACCAAGTACTTGCAAAATATATTGAAATAAAAAATAGTTCAGAAAGTGCTCTAATTTATTTTGATAGTTTTGACCTAGTTGGATGGTTGGCAGTAGATGGACTACACAATGTTGTTGAAGAGATAAACATTAATAATTGTGATGTTTATGAGTTCAAATCAGTTATTTGTCCTTCTGGCGAAAATCACATTGAAGTTTTGTCTTTACTTAAAGGGTCTAGTAAGGAAATGAATGATTACATAGATTGTTTTACCACACTTAGTGTTGAAAACCTTTCATTAGCAAACCTATCTTTGCCAAACATTGTACAGAAATTGAAACAAACTCAGTCAACATGTTCATGTAGATTACTTTGTGGTTCTGACTTCCAAGCAGATCGTCAAGAAGTACCCATTATCAGTAGTGATGGTAATAAGTCTACAATGAATGTCAATGTAGTTTGTCAAACTAAAAATGAGTCAGAAAGCAAAAGTACAGCAACTTCTTGTAGAAACTCAAGAAACCATCCAACGAAGGGGAGGAGATCCAAGTCAGCATCTAGAAACCGCAAGAAGAAAAAATCATTTTCCGAACACACAAATTTGGAAAACATAGCACAAAGGAGTAAAGATGCCAAGAAACCAGATTTACAGATCAATGTTACTGGCAAACAATCAGACCAATCAGATAATAGTGATAATTCTGGTATTTATGTAGATATGAATTGGAAATCTTCCAAGAAGATCGCCCATGCAAATGAAGACGAAAAGACTGTTACTTGTGATACCGTTTTACTTGGAGCCAAACCTAAAAAAAATCAACAGCCCAACCCAAAAATTAAAGGTGTGAAGTACCAAAATGGTTTTGATGATAGCCCTCGGAAACATAGAAATTCTGATGACAGTTATGATAGTTGTGATTCAATTGATTATGAAACTACAGATTTAGACAAGAATCTTTCTTGCAAAAATCCCAGTGAAGCAAAAAGAAAACATCATCTTGTAAAGCACCAAACTTCTTCTAAAGATGCCTTTGTGGAATCATATAATAACCATACATTACACAACCAAAGATTAGAGAGCCCTCACGTTTTGCACCACAAAAGGCAACCTGTTGAATCCCGCAATAAACATGTAAATAAATCTCAAAATGTATACTTATCAACTGAATATGAAACTGGCTCACCTTCTTTCAGATCACTTTCAGCCACTTCAGCTGAAGAAGATAGCAAGAGAAACACTAAATATCATGAAGACAAGCACAAAACATCACAGCACAATCCTCAAAGTAGAAAGAATGAATCTTTTGACAGCATCAGTTCCATTGAATTAGAAATTTCTAAGTTAAGAGAACTCAATGCAATACACAACAGCAAATTTAAAGCCATGAAAAAGCAACATGATAGACACAATCGGGTTTTGAATGAGTCTGATGAAGGCTCGGAAGAATCAGGCGCAACCAATCATCATTCATTCCAAACGGCCTGCTCTCAACATTGTAGTGAAGATATTGATAGTTCCTATGAAGATATGAAGTCCAATAGACACATTCACTCAAGCAGCAACGTTGATGAAAACCATTTAGAAATTCATAGTCAGATGAATAATAAGCCTAGGTCAAAAAGATATTCTCACAAAGAAAATAGCCAACAGAGAAGAAAAAGACATGATCAAATGTATCTTCAAGATCAAGAACTTCCTCAAAATGTGTATACCCAGCATGCTGACCAATGTGAAAATCATGAGTTCGCTCAGGCCAACCAAGACAGTCATTTGCAAGCTCAATCTCAAGACCTTCCTCATTCTCATGGAAGTGGTTCATCAAGACTAAAGGGTGAGAATTTACATGAAATGTGGTATAAAGATTGGTATCTGCGAGTCCGCCAAAGAGCAATCCAACTTGCAATGATGGAGTACACCAATAGTATGTCTTCAATGTAGAAAAATCCATCCTTCAAAAATGTTGTGGTCAGTGCCAAGGCATTTTTATTATTTATTTGTCCTTTACTGACTAAACTTTTCTGATCCTAGTCACTTAATCATTTTCAGTGCTTGGCATTTTGCCTTCTCATTAGAACCAGGCTTAGGTATGATGGATTTTCTTACGATGAGTTTTAAAGTGTTATTGTATGAATTTAAAAATGTCTTTTTGTTGCTCTCTGTTTTTTATTCATGTGAAACATTCTCTTATTAGTTAGACCACATTTCCTAATACAACTATCTGATCGAGGCTGTGAAAAGAGTATTCAGTAATTGCCATAAGTTTGTTATGATTTTAATACAACAAAATTGGATACCTTATTTTAACTCATCTTTTAAGTTTTTAAATTTACAATAGCTAAAATATTATTAATTCAAATAAGTCATATAGTTAAAACGCAATATATAGAACGATTTCATGTACTTATGTTTCAGTCCAAGTTTGTTGTTGTACCTTTGACAATTAATTGTTAGTCTATTTTTGACTTTTGTAAATATGGTACATGTGACCTGATATGTTTTGCTTACAATTAAACCTGTAATGTATTGTGATACTTTTGTAGTTGTGTAAAGAAAAAATAGTTTGAATAAAAAAGTAATTAAATTTACCAATTGTTGTTATTTTAATTTCTTAGTAGTTGATTATAACTGGAAGTACTTATCTGGGAAAATAGGGGAAGCAATTATAGATAAGTTACTTAGTCAGATTTTACATGAAAAGGAGTAAACTGAGTAGTCTGTCAGTTATATGAGAATGCAATTTCACTTTGAATTTTGTTGGAAGCAAATACATCTGAGTGGTCTTTTATTTGATAAATTTTAAAACCACGACAGAGCTGCTACAGTTTCTAACAGTAAACTAGTAATACGCTTATTCTGCGCGTAACGGGATGAGTGAACATGAGCGCAGCAATGAAAGAGTCGACCCACACCTAGCCTACTTACCGGTGTCACTGGTAAACACAATGTTATTTGTATGGGCAAATCAACCAAATCTTAGTCAACAACAATCCTAACTTCTCGTCCATTAATTAACCAAAGTCATTGGTAATATACGTAATGGATTTCCAACAGTTATCGATTGGAGGTAAATCCATCGTTCCTGTACAAAACGTCTTTTGATTAAATGAAGCCTATTTCCATATTTGTTATGAGACCTATCATAAACAAAACTAAGCCAAACTGAACTAATCCAACTTAACCTAATTGCCAAAGCACGGTGTAAGGAATCTCCTAAAAAATATTGTATGACTTACAATGATTTTTTAAACAACGATATCGTAATTATGTCATCTAAAAATGATTAAAAGTCCAATATATGTTTATCTAACTAATGAATCTAAATGCCATAAACGGTCCCCACACTCCGCATTGCTTGCCTTAACCACTTCCATCGCCACTACCTACGTCATGGACCTCGTTCCCTCCCTTCCCTCAGCATTTTACATTGAATGTACATTAAACTACCACAAACTCTTCCCACATTCAGAACTTCTCGCCTTTGCCAAATCCTTCCCTACTTCCTATGACGTGGACCTGTTTTCCTCCCTTCCCATATCCTTTTGGTATATTGCAAATGCATTAATCTAACTGCCACCAACGGCTCCCACACTCCGCACTGCTCGCCTTGACTACTTCCTTCACTACTTCCCACGTCGTGGACCTGTTTCCCACCCTTTCCATGGCATTTTAGTATTGCAACTGTTTCATTGCAGATACATAAATCTCACTGTCACCAAAGGGTTCCCACACTCCGCACTTCTCGCCTTGACTACTTCCTTCGCCACTTCCTACGTCGTGGACCTGTTTCCCTCCCTTCCTTTATTATTGCAATTTATTAGTGCATTTTATTATTGCAGATACATTAATCTAACTGTCACAAAGGGTTCCCACACTCCGGACTGCTCGCCTTGACTACTTCCTTTACCACTTCCTACGTCGGGGACCTGTTTCCCTACCTTCCCATAGCATTTTAGAATTGCAGTTACATTAATCTAACTGTTGCAAAGGGTTCCCACACTCCGGACTGCTCGCATTGACTACTTCCTTCACCACTTCCGACGTCGGGGACCTGTTTCTCTCCCTTCCCATAGCATTTTAGAATTGCAGTTACATTAATCTAACTGTTAAAAAGGGTTCCCAAACTCTTGACTGTTCACATTGACTACTTCCTTTACCACTTCCTACGTCGTGGACCTGTTTTCCTCCCTTCTCATAGCATTTTATTATTGCAGATACATTAATCTAAGCGTCACAAAGGATTCCCACACTCCGGACTCCTCGCCTTGACTACTTCCTTCACCACTTCCTACGTCCTGGACCTGTTTCCCTCCCTTCCCATAGCATTTTAGAATTACAGTTACATTAATCTAACTGTAACAAAGGGTTTCTACACTCCAGAATGCTCGCCTCAACTACTTCCATCACCACTTCCTACGTCGTGGACATGTTTCCCTCCCTTCCTATAGCATTTTAGAATTGCAGGTACATTAATCTAACTGTCACAAAGGGTCCCCCACACTCCGGACTGCTCGCCTTGACACCTTCCTTCACCACTTCCTACGTCGTGGACCTGTTTCCCTCCCTTCCCATAGCATTTTAGAATTGCAGATACATTGATCTAACTGTCACAAAGGTTCCCCACACTCCGGACTGCTCACCTTGACTACTTCCTTTACTACTTCCTTCGTCGTGGACCTGTTTCTCTCCCTTCCTTTAGCATTTTATTATTGTAGATACATTAATCTAACTGTCACAAAGGGTTCCCACGCTCCGGAATGCTTGCCTTGACTACTTCCTTCACTACTTCCTACGTCCTGGACCTGTTTCCCTCCCTTCCCATAGCATTTTAGAATTGCAGATACATTAATCTAACTGTCACAAAGGGTCGCCCCACTCCGGACTGCTCGCCTTGACTACTTCCTTCACTACTTCCTACGTCGTAGACCTGTTTCCCTCTCTTTCCATAGCATTTAAGTATTACAGATATATTAATCTAACTGTCACAAAGGGTTTCTACACTCCGGACTCCTCGCCTTGACTACTTCCTTCACCACTTCCTACGTCCTGGACCTGTTTCCCTCCCTTCCCATAGCATTTTAGAATTACAGATACATTAATCTAACTGTCACAAAGGGTCGCCCCACTCCGGACTAGCCTTCCCCCACTAGCCCCATTTCTAGCCACTCCCATAGCCTTGACTACTTCTTTCACTACTTCCTACGTCGTAGACCTGTTTCCCTCTCTTTCCATAGCATTTAAGTATTACAGATATATTAATTTAACAGTCACAAAGGATTTCCACACTCCGCACTGCTCACCTTTCCGCTTCCTTTACCACTCTCTACGTCGTGGACCTTTCTCCCCCCCCCCTTCGCATAGCATTTTAGTATTACCGTACTAACATCTTTGAATATTTACTGTAATATTCAGTGCCAACATTAAATTGAATAATGGAAAAAGCTGCTTTGTTCTAAATATATACATAGGCCTATATATATTTTTTTAATTTAAAGGTGAATTTTAATACTGAACATAAACGGTATGTAACTGCCGACTAATATAGTAAAGTTTAATTTATTATTCTGAAAGCTGTGAAATTATAATGATATACATTCATAGACGCCAAACTGTTTACTCTATGAATGAAAGAAGAGTAAAAGTCGTTCTCTCTGTCTACTTCAGACAACAAAATTGTTGGTCGCAAAACGTAAACAAATAAAAAGAAGAAGAAGGTAGCTCCTAATGTTATTCTTATGGGACAAATTTAAAAAGGTTTTTTATGGGTTTTATAATTACTACTGAGCGGAATCGTCTAGAATTTTAATGAGGTCTTCCCACTGGTGTCATAATTATTTGTGCAAAATTTGAACGCTATAAGTGCGACGGTTCTTGAGTTTTTGGTGCGAACACACTCACTCACAGACAAGCGGACAACTTTTCTTCAACTCCGCTATACACGATACATAGATTCGTTCACTTCGTTCACTCATCTATTATGTTTAAGGGTTCGCTCTGCTAATGCAAGGGCTTAGTATCTCCGTTATTGTCAGCTCAGTTCTTAACTGATTTAAAATATATTTATGTATATTTATTCATTTCTTATATCTGTAGGCTTGTACTTTTTTAATTTTTTGATAATAGTAGAATTTTAAGTGGGAAATGACTGGTAAATACGCCTAAATAAGCGTTTTTCTAAAGCATTTTCCACATACAAATAAATTTTTAGAAGAAAATTAAAACAGTAGATTCATAAATTTGAGTCTAAGGAGTAAGGAACAATCTTCAGATGAAATATATTTTAAAAGTTAAGTGAGTAATTTAAGAGGACGCAAACGTCTGCAAGCGGTTTTCGCGGTGCTGTTCAATGGTGCAACATAACCACTGAGGCTCTAGTTGAGATTTCTGAGCTGAGGTAGAGCACACCCTTACAGGGAAAGTGCATCCTAAAAATTATTGTGTCACTCAAACCAATGTGTCCAGTCCTGCTCTTATCCACTCCCCATCTGGTTCTTGCAGGAAACTATTTCAAACCTTTACCTAGACAGCCCCAGACTATTGCTCTCTTGTGCCCCACTGCCTCACAAATTGCCAGCAGGTTCTTTGGGGTTTCTTCACTTGATTGACAGAATGACATTCATTCTCTAACACAATACCCATTTCCTTAAGGGGTTCCGGTTTGTCTAAATCTGCAATGTTCAGGAAGAAATCCTCAATTTCTGTTTGGCCTGATCATGGTCTCAGATATCCTAATGTTGTCTCCAAGTATCTCCTTGACTTGTATAAACCCTGTAAAAACTTTCCAAACTTTTGATCTCGTCTTCTCTTCATCATTAAACAGAAGAGAGCATCTTTTGGTTCATCAACGAGTTCTGGTCCCACAGGAAGAGTAGCTGCTTAACTTGCAAGCATACCAGCCTCCTCATCACCCTTCACATCTTTGTGTACAGGAATACAGAATAGGGAAAATCTGTTGTTCTGTCCCAGCAAGATCAGACTCTGCCACACTTCCATACCATATTTGATCTGATAACCGAGGAGCTCAAATTACTGCTTGATAAATTACCCTCTCCTACTAAGGTTAAACTGAGCACACCTCTTGATGGTTCCATCCCTAGTCTGAAACATGCTGGGAGAATGCCCCAGTGGCTCCTTGTAACTGGTTCCAGGTCCAAAGACTCGAGCCCCAGTTCCCTCATTCATCTTTGACCTATGAATGAACCATCTAGTGGCAGGCTCAAGAATAGGAGCCTTAAATATCCCTCCCCCAGTCACGTTTGTTGCCTAGCATGCATGACAACAAAGTTCCTTTCAAAGATCTTCTTCCTAAACGTAGAGTCCCTTGATAGGTTCAACAAGTCATTTAGAACTAGTGCTCCCACTTATTTTAGAGGATGTGCCAATACCCACTTTATCCATTATCAGTAAATCCTCCTTTGACAGTCCCCGAGGACCATTTATAGAGGTCTCATATCAGGATGACCATTAGGACTGCAGTTTAGGTTCTCATTCCCATTGCTCATGTACCATGACTGTCCATTTTTGGTGATTTCTCCAAAACAATAAATTAAACATACTCTCTTCCAAAGCCAATGCTAGAAGACCACCT